TACAATTATTAAGGTAGTTTACGCGCGTCATTCGTTCACAAAAATATCGCCAAAAGTTTGAGTGAGATTCTCAATGCTGAAAAATGTTATTTTTATAAAAGACTGAACACAACACATGTAAGCTTATGTATGGATTTGGATATGTTATTATTTCAAGTAAAATCCATCCGGCCAGGTCACAAATATATGAATGGTGCGCTATCAAGTGTATACCTATAGAAATTTGTGACTTCCTCTTACTAATTTTAAGGGTTTGTTTTGGTTCAAACAGAACGATCGATTCCAGTTCTCAAATACAGTAGACAAATTAATTTTTCAAGAACACGTCACTTCTTAGTTGATCGAGTGTAATTCAGTGATTCTGAACTAACCATGTTGCCAAGTTGTAATCATTGTACCCCACTACGCGTCGACTGCTTTCAAAATATTTTCATTTTAAAAATCTATATCTTTTTACCAAAACGGTCAAAATATTCAGCGTTTTTTTAGAAAATTTTATAACCTCTTAATTTACATTACATTAGTTTTTAAAAAATATAGTTAGAACCGTTTTCGAGATATCTTGAAATAAATGCATTGCTTGTGTACATGACAGGCTTCAAGAATGTTGATTATGCACAATTTCATTGGTAATATCGCGTTTCACAGACGGTAAAATTTTTTTTTTTATTTAGGTACTTAAAAGACACTTTCATTAACCTTATATTTAAATTTTATTGAATTCTTAAGAAAAGCCGTTTTACGAATGAACTACTTTAAATATTATTTAAAAAAAATGAAAATAAAGTCTTAAAATCTAAATCTTGAAGCTTATTTTTAATTATATTTAATATGGAACTTAATTTTTAAATAAAATGTACCTATTTATTGTAGGTTTTTATTTGCATTTAAATTTTTAAAACATAGCCATCTATCCAAATAAAACCATTTTAAATATGGAATTCTTAATGTAGGTATTTAAAAATATCATAAAATTTCAATCGACGCTACCCATCTTAAATTAGTCACACCACTTCATACATTGGGGTCTATTCTGTAACAATTCCTTTATATTTAACGGCCTTTAAAAATATTGGCGGCCTATAAAAATATGTTCGTATTTGTTAATTTACTTCTATCATTATTTAAACAGATTTCTTTAAGATAGTCCTCTAATGTATTTTAAAGATCCGTTTAAATAATGACCGAATTAAAGAAGAAAATATTTTTAAAGGCCGTTAAATATAAAGGAATTTTTACAGAATAAACCCCAATGTCAGAATTGTTAAAATAGGGAACAAACACAGTGCCATTTTTTCTTGTTTCCTCTAACTTGTGTACGGCAAAATTTTGCTACAGTACTTTATAAATAATAAAGTTCATTAATCTCCGAATTTGTGTATAACTATTTTTGGTTGATAAATAAAATGCTTTAATTGGTCTTTATTTTATTTCATAAAGGAAGGTATGTAGTCAGAAATATGCATAATATTCTTGCTTCACATATAAAACGAGTTCTTCACAATATTTTTCTATTTTCTTTTCTCCTTCATCAGTCAAGCTTTATAGTAGGTATATTTACTCAAAATGTATACAAATTGTTTAAAGTTCAAAATTAATAATCCTATAAATTTGAGTAAATAATATACAATGAGACAAGCCTGTGCATGGTCTATGTAGTATCACAATACTGTGAAATACTATTCTTACATTGAAAGTTAAAAATATACTCTATAAAGCAATATTTTTAAAATCATGTCTATTCGCTTTATATCAATATCGATATAAATTTTGTTTTGACAATGTTTGTTGCTTTATCTTTTTTTTTACTTTTGAGTTTTGAGGCTTATTGGTGCCTTCGGAGCCTCGGTACCGTCGTGCACCATACGACTTTGCCCTTATGTACAGCGCGGGCCTGTATCTGGTTCTGTACAATATGAAAACAAAATGTACTTATCTTGTTTTGACAGTAACTCGATGAAATACACTAGACATAATATCAAATTTACACCTATACTTAAACAAAATGGCAGACTTCCATCTTTACCATAAAAGTACCGATTCCTCCTAGCCTATATGAACTATGAATAACAAAGAAAAAGCCGAACATCGTCGAGAACGTCCAATGGAAGCATTCATTGTTGACTGTCGACAAAAACATGTCATAAAAGCATGCATTTTAATGGGGTGCAATTCTCAGGAATTTTTATAATAATTCCTGAATATATATGTGAAATTTCGATATTCCATTTTATACCAGTAACGACGCAAATACTGTTATTTGAAAAAGGATACAATAATATAACAAGAAATGGCTTTGTTGGAACCTCTGAAATTCGAAAAGAAATTCTCTTTCATCGCACAAATCGATCGTTGACATAGAAAAATTGTAAGAAGAAGAATAACTTTGCTTTTGAATTTTGAATTGAAATTATGTATCTACTCCATTCCTGTGACTTGGTATTTGAACAACAAATTATATTTACTTACTTTTTACATAAAAATTATACATAACAACACTTTTTTATTATTATAATAAAGCAAATATATTTTATAAAGTACCTATTCTTAAAATTTCAAGCAATAATAATATAATTATTAAGTTTACTCTTGACAGTATGTATACTTGTCTCTTTAAACGTTTATTTACATTTGTGATATGCTCTGTCCCACGTGTAAGTGCTGGTCTAAAATTATACCTAAATATTTGATGGAAATTTATAGTACATTTGATTCATTTATGATGTGGTCGTTTAGTAATTGTAGGATTGAAATCATACATTTAGAGTAAGCAGCTTGTGAGCTAACCAAATTTTAATTTTAAATAAATCTCCTTCTGTCGAAGTTTTTAAGGCATCCCAATTTGTCTCTCAAAGCAACACTGTTCCTTTAGGAACTCTTAGTTTATTTTCTATTTTTACTTTTTATACTCTATTTTCAAGGTAATTTTGAAATAAATGAAATGCTGTGCCTCGAATTCCGTAGTTTTCTAGCTTTTCAATCAAAATTTTATGGTTTCAAAAGCCTTGGTGAGATCAAGGAAAATCGCAAGGAATTCTGATGAATCGTATCGAGATTTTACTGTCTCGTTTAATAAATTTTCTATTACGTTTTCAGTATTTGAACTTTAGCAAAATTATTGTTGACAGATAATTTGGGTCTATCTATTTTTCTAAGATGTATTTTATATTTCTTAACAATTTAGCATTAATTTTATTTTAATGATCTGTTTAATTTATAAATACATTGTTTAAATGAATTTTTAATTAATTATTATTACATTATACCCCTTAAACCTCTCTAAGCTCTTTTGTTAAATTTTTTAAAATAAAAATCAAGTTTCTTAATAATTTGGAAGTAATTTCGTTTAAATACAGTTTTTCTTATAAAAAAAAATTCGACGCCAATGGGTGTTAGGTGTTTCCAGAAAATGGCTGCCAACTTTATAACGGTACTATTTTAATGAAACATATTTAAGAAGATTTATTTAAAGACATCTTTTTATGGTAACTTATTTAAGGAGACCTATTTCAAGAGTCTTATTTCAGAAGATCATATTAAAATATTATTAATTTACACCAAGAACTTTAAATATTATTAAAAAAACACAGGGCGTCCATAATGTATCCCCGCAGGTAAGACCGTAGAAAAGGACCTTGTCATGTTATTTTTACGTATCCTATCTAAATCCGGGTGATTGTCCACATATTTTAGGACAACATGTATAATTACAATTTGACACAATGCAAAAAAGGTCATTTAGTGATTTTGAATTGCCTTATTTTTAGGTTTTCAATTTTTCCTGTTTTATTTCAGATGTGACGCCATTAAACTATATAACAAACAATCAACTGCCAGGAAACTGATGGCCCTTTGCCACGATGTTAAAAGGCCATTATATTTTTATGGTTTGTGGCCATCAATCATTAATTAATGTTAGCCTTGCATTTTTAAATGATATAGTTATATTTGCAAAATGCAAATGGCTTTAGGGTAACAAAAACGTGGGAATTAATCGATGAAAGTGTATTTCTTAACAGTTTATAACCTTTTCAAAATAAATGTTTTGTAAGCGGATGGATATTTATAAATTGAAAATCAATAAAGTGCAAAATAAGATAATTTAAAAAAAATTATTTTGAAAACGGTGTTTTAAGTTTTAAAATAGTTCTTGTTTTGTAGTAGTATAAATCAGATTTTAAAATTGACACTTACCAATTACTTAATCAACTTTTTTATTCAAGTTTTATCAAAAAAGATGCATTATTAATTTCATTATGTATATATTGCTTAATTTTGTGTCAGTAGTTCAAATTAGTTTTATCGAAATGTCATAACTATGTATACTTATAAATTTTATGATTTTCAAGGGAGTAAAGAAAAAAGAAGACAAAAAATTATTAAATTAACATTTACTTAAAGATAATTTAATGTTTATTTTTGTAGGAAAAGTTTTTGTTACCATTTTTTTGTCATTATTGTTGTATACGTATGTACCTAAATAATTAACCTAAAAGTTGATAAGCTTGATAAAATAGTTTAACTTGAAGTTTGTAGTAAAATAAAAGTCTAATTTAAGAAAAACTATTTTAATTGCCAATGGTTCAATGTGGTATTTAATTATAATCATCGTTGAAATTATCGACAATTTAAATATGGTATTCCTCAAATTAGAACTGTATTCTCCAATAAACTATAGGAATATTAAAAATAGCCAATATTGGGTCTGCAGTTAGCAATTGAAGTTTTAACAGTTAAAGGAGGCATTAAAAATCCTGTAACTGTTATTGATGGCAAAATTATTGTGACCCGACTGTCGGCCGTAGTGACCAATATATACCAGGTCTTTGTAGATGAAAATTAAAAGGCCATCATTATATAAATTGGAGGTAGACAATTATTGGGTAGGTAAGTATTCGAATAAATTCTAAAAGCATGCAACAAAATTGGTTTTTAATTCATTATAGAATCTACGAAATAAAAAAAAATAAACAAAGAACTAATAATTAATCTGTCCAAACCTGAAGTTTAACAGTCAGCTTTCAACTAGGGTCCCTTTTTTTACACTATAATCTTTTGCTGAATCCTCGTTCACCGTTCGTTGTCACATCAAAGTTGACGCTGAGCACGTGTCAAAATATCAAACGGCTTAGAGCGGTACGTTTCAAGATTTTCGAGGTCTACGGAAAACTGAGCGATTTTCGCGTTGAAATTCTATAATATACGTTAGTGTTTGAACGAAAACCTGGCGTCAAGCGCTTGCGTTAATTTTATAATGCTAAAAATACTGCGTTTTGGTTTTAATACTTAATTTTTATTTTTTTTTATATATATAATTGTATTGTAGGAAATGCGTAATGTTCGTAATGCGTGAGTTCGAGAACAAATAATTATTCTTTTTAGTCGAGATCGACTCAAATCAAAAGTAAAATAAAAACTACACATTTTTTCAAATTGACGAAGCGTAAAGCCAATAAACTATTTCAATTTAAAAAAAATTTATGTGTCCCAATAACTGGCCAAGACAAAAAAAATATTTAAAAACTAAAATTCCTTCAATATTAATTTCAACTACACATTACTTTAGAAAAGGACAGTATATCTATGAAAAAAGATTTAAAGGAAAAATTATCAAGATGGTTTAGAAAATTTAAAAATAATTGATTTAAAACTGGTACAAAACGCTTAATTATGTCAATAAATGCAGTTTTTTTTGTTTCAAATCAAATCATCCTTATAAATCAAATTTTGCATGTATTTTGAAAATGGCCCTTATGATAAAAAAGCACACACCATCCAACTTATGGTCAAGCGAAACGATACCACAATTTGAGCTTGTCAGACGAATCGGGAAATTTTAATTGGTCAGGCGAAATGGGAACAGGCGAATCGGGCATAAATCAAGTCAAATACATAGGGATTATGTGGATAGGTACTTACCATTTCATAAAATTTTATTACAACACAATTAACACAAAATATAAAGCACTCCGTCGAATATTTATAACTATAACTTTTCGTCTTGGTTTTTGACCTTCACGTAGCCGAAGAAAATATTAACTATTTGGATTACGACGCCTCCTGCAGTTTTATTTATACTCGTGATCTCGTGGTTCGTAGATGAGTCTTCAAGTCTGGACAGGAAAAATCAACAAGATATATGAAACTTACTCGTCGTACAATATTCGAGTCTGGACAGGAAAAATCGACAAGATCTAATATGTAACTTACTCGTCGTACAATATTCGAGTCTGGACAGGAAAATCAACAAGATCTAATATGAAACTTACTCGTCGTACAATATTCGAGTCTGGACTGGAAAAATCAACAAGATCTAATATGAAACTTACTCGTCGTACAATATTCGAGTCTGGACAGGAAAAACGTGGTCGTAGAATATTCAAGTCTGGACAGGAAAAATCGACAAGATCTAATTTGAAACTTACTCGTCGTTCGTACAGTATTCGAGTCTAGACAGGAAAAATCGACAAGTTTATACTTTATACGGGTATTCATGGTATTGATTTTATTATATTTAATAATTAACGCTAATTGAATAGCTATTTGATTTTAAAAATTAGATATATTTTCTGTCACAATAGAAATAGGTCATTATATCAACGAACATAAACTTCGATAACATTATATTATCATGAATTGAGATAAAAACATTTTTGATTTTTTTAGTGTCTTAGTGTCTTGTGAACAATTTACCAAAAACGAGTGCAACATCGCGAACAATTAGTTATTCATAGATTAAGATAAATTTACAATGTTTAAAAAAAGATTTTTTTTGTTTATTCCTATAACCTTTATAACCTTTATTTTTGTCACCAACTGAATTTTTTGGCAATGTATATTCTGCCATTATTTTATACAATTAACGGAAAACCATTGTGCAAATAATAAGATACCTGAAATATAAATGTAAATATATTTTCCTGTTCCAAAAATAAACCAGCAAACTTACAGGGACGTAAAAAACTGTCTCTTTCTTACAATACAAAGAATTCAATTAAATTTATATGGCTTTAGAAATGATAATGAACATTTATTTCACTTTCAATGTATGTTATTGAAAACCGGGTTACATGGGAAGCAAAGAATTGAATTCTGTAAAAATAAACCCAAAGTTAATTTGATTTCAACTAAAAGAAACATTTTTTATTTTAACTATATTTTTAAAACGTCTTTTATATGATTTCAGTCAAAGTTCATGGAAAAATACATCAACATCGAAATTATTAATTTAATTTTTTTGAAACTAAATTGACTCAAATAGCGTAAGGTTTTTTTGTTGCCTCTAAAAAAGTAAGCATTCCTTGGGACGCCTCAAATTCAAAGTAGTGAACCGGTACAAATCGATACTAATGAAACATACACTGGAAATAGTTTAAAAGATAAATCGGATATACAACCAGGAACTAACGATTCCAAAAACATTACTTCTGAAACTAAAAGAGTTCCCAAAACCCTGCCTGGATGTCTGATTATATTAACTAACAAGCTAACTTAAGAGTTTTTCCATTTTACTGTATTAACTATAAGTTTATTATGGTTCATTGTTTTATATTTTGTTTCTTATTTGAAAAAGGGGGATGTTGTGTCACCTTAGCCACGGCAATCCGACATCGTGGCTAGAGACACATGGTCCTAACCTAATTCTTGGTACCGGTGCACCAGTTTGCTTTTTGTTGATTGTCCCTGCTCCAAACTCCATTTTCTCTTCTGATGCTAGGGGTGATGCTAATAGGTCTATTAATCTTTCTAGTGGCTTTGCATAGAAAATAATATGTCTCTTCATCTGGTGACATGATGTAGACATGAGTTTGTTCCTCAAGCTTTTTAATTATTTCGTTTCTTAATTTTAGAGTTTTTTGTTTTAAAATAGCCTTAACTGATCGATTTCTAGATTGTTGCTATCCTCTTTTTGCTCTTCTTTTTCTCTTATCATTTCTCCGATATCAAATGGGTATTCCCTTTGTCAAATGGGTAATTTCTTTGGTGTTCTTGTAAACAGCTGTTTGAATAATTTTATTAAAGTTTTCAGCTTCCTCTTTAAGTTGTTCAGTCTATTTTTAAACATAATATTCAGATTAATATTGTTTTGAAGTTAAATTCTAGGAATTTCCCCACGATATGCTCGTATAGGCCATTCACTAGTTTCAGATAACTTTTGAAAACTTACATTTTTTAAATTATTAAAAATTGAATGAATGGAACTTTGTTACAATGTTATATTGCCAAAGTTGTGAACATTTTAGGAATATTAGTTTATATGTACACATTGTAAACTCGTTTGAAGTTATAAATCCCAGAGTTTGCGACATGTATTTCAAATTAGAGAAAATTAAACTTCTAGTATTGAGCTATTCGGGAATCGATAGTTATTTGTATGCAGTGAATAAGTCGCTGCCACTCCGCGAGATTAATAGGAAAATAGGAAATTAAATTCGACCATGTAAATTAGTTCATTTAACTTGCTAGATGGAAGCTATTAGTTTGGGGTTTACTACCCACAATAGACGTCCTTTGTTAAATAAAGATTTGGCTTTCGATTATATCTAAAAATAACTTTATATCAGAAATAGGTAACCATAATATACATACAAGCGAATGACAAGTTGACAAATTTTCTGTAGCAACTTGTTTAACTTTATTACTAATTTTCTGTCTATTCAATAATTGAGCAATGTCACTATCATGACTATGTATTCCATTAAGTCTTAAAAATACTCCTTCTAGTAAATATAATTTCGCATTGCAACCTCTTCTTGTGCAGCTCCAACATTCCTCCTTAGTTTTTTGAGCACTTTATATAAATAGAACTTAAATTGATCGACTATTAATAATTTTTGGCCCCCTTCACTGATATTTTCCGTAATCTCCATCTATTCACAACTTTATCAAAATAACTGAACTTTATTAAACTTCACAGGCGAAAGAATATCAAATATACTAATAACATTATCTACATTTTCGAGCTATATGCAAATTCAAAAAATTAAAACTCATTATATTATCTAAAAATTCTTAATAAAAGAAAGTCTACAAAGTAGTTTAAGGAATAATTTGGTTGGCTTAAAAATTATATACTTAGTTTACCCAGACAACACACCAAATCCCAGAGATATCCACAGAATATCTTTTGTGGATATCCAATATATCCACAGGATATCAGAAATATTCCGTGGATCTAATATGGATATCCAAATGTCCGTCTATATCCAGAATATGGAAGATATCCTATGGATTATCCAGCAAAATATCTAATGGGTATCTTCCAGACAATACGAGAAATCCCAGAGATATCCACAGAATATATTTTGTGGATATCCAATATGGATATCCAACCAAATGTTTATTTTTTGAAATGGGGGTGGGATTGCTATCCCTTCCGAGGGTCCTAAGCGATTATTCTTTTGTCCAGTAGCTGCTTGCATTAAAAGGTATACTTGGTATTAATCCCAACTTGATATCTCATTTTTAAGTGCGTCAAATATTTATTTTTTGAAATGGGGGTGTGATTGCTACCCCTTCCGAGGGTTTTAAGCGAATCAGCTTTTGGTCAGTAACTATTTGTATTAAAACTTATACGTGGTATCAATTCTGTTTTGATATTTTATTTTTAATAATATGAATATTAAGAAATTTCATTATATGAATGTATGATTTTTTATTTATTTATATAAGGAAAATAACATTTAAAATACAAACGACTTCAATTTTCAATTAACACATAAAATTGAAATAAACGTACGTATTGCCCTTTTGTTCGGAAGTACTCGGTAAACGGGCTACCAGTTTTTGGCTACTAACTTCACACCGGTTTCCAAGATACAGTTTTATGTAGCCCGGCTCTGTATAAAGGAGCACCAGATGTAGCAAACAATATCTCTTCATCATTTATAGCTATTCTGATTTCTTTATTTCGGTCAAAACTGAATTGGAAGTTAAAAAATGCGAAATCCAATTTTACTTTTTCCGAATATCGAAATTCTGAAACCAATTTAATATTTGCGCATATCATCATTGTTATGCAAAACTGCGTATTTGATTGGCACACGCGATCATCAGATTGACTATTTAATTTAATAAAATTTTAATATTCATAAAGCTAAAAGCTTCTATTTTGAAAATTCCCGTGTAGGTTCTTTCCAGTTTCCTTTTCGCATAATCTTACGTAGAGCATACAAAGTGACGTAAAACTATATAGGAGTTTGTGCAACAGGAGTGGATCAATGAAGTGGAGAGGGGTAGATTGTAGAATGATAACTGTCAATGCCCAATTTCGTTTTGCACATTTTGTAAACAAGATTCAGGGACAGTTTAACAACATTGTGTGCAACATTTATAAAACTGCATCGCAAAATCATTATCAAGTATAATTTACTACTATAAATCGAAATCAAAGCAAAAAAAAAATCAAAAATATAAACAAAGATAACAAAGAATTGACTCCGAAAAAAAGCTTACAATAGCCACAACACAAACAAAAAACAGAGCTGAACATGAAATGATAGCTGAACAAAGCCAAGCCTGGAATTTGTTTACAGTGCTTTAGGGCAACTTCTCCTCATTTACGTGTGAAAGAGTGGAAAGATGAATCATGCATAATTTCTACCCCAGTATATCTAAATTCTACCCTCTCCACTTCTTTGTAGTGGATTTGATGGCCATATCGCGCCGTAGAGTAGACGCAGTGCACCCTTCCTCCATGCTGTGCCCAAATCGTCTGAGTGCGATGCGGGCAATCCACTAATCCACTCAAGTTGTTATCAGTTATATTTTTTTTCACTAAATAAAATTGTTAGGTTAGGTTATAAATTTTTAATAGCTTAATATCAATGAAGTACTTCTTTGCTTAATATTTAAAGTTGAATTGGTTTTTAATGTTTTTTCTTCTAATTTTGACATATAAAGTGACATTTTTTGTGATCACAGCAAGTGTCAAAATAATCTATGTAACCAGTTACGTAAAGTTTTTATTCATACAATACCTATGTTTTCTAATTTTGACTAAAATATTTATAAAACTGTTTTGATAAAACAATATTGACATCTAGGATCTAGGCAACCAATATTACTACTTTCTTGTATTGTTAGTTGCATATGCATCATTTTATTGACAATTTAAAACTACGATTAGATCAATTAGCTTTGTTCGCGGTAAGAATCCTGAACCGAATTAGTTACACATTACGAAATGCCGTTTTATGTAACATAGTTATAAATAGTTATTTATATCACTACGAATATTGTGCATAAACACAGAAGAATTCATTTGAAAAAGTTAGCAACACTTCTATTTCGATTATAAAAAGATAGTAATAATCGATTTTTTTTGTTCTTTATGTTTTTAGGGTTTGCAGCAGTGTGCACCGTCAAAAGTGACATTGTCATCAATGTCAACGTCAGCTTTCTTTTAGTTGTCAAGTGTCATAGAAATAAAACATCTTTTCAAGATGAAGTAAGTTTTCTTTAAATATTTTAAAAATCCTTTAATTTTCCCAATATTAATATGTTTTTAAATATATTTTTGACCAATATTTAAATAATTATAATAATATTTTTCAATTTTAGGATTGGACTTTGCGCCTACAGCGGGTTTAAAATATACCCCGGTCATGGCAAAACAATGGTAAAAGTTGATGGAAAGGTAATATATCATAAAATATCTAAAATCTTGTTTTGCTATAAAAACATTGTAAACACAAACTTATTTAGTACGTTTTTTATTTCAGACATTTACGTTCCTTAACTCAAAATGTGAAAGAGCACATTTAATGAAGAGGAATCCACGTAAAGTAACATGGACTGTTCTTTACAGACGTAAACATAAAAAGGGTCAAGAGGAGGAGGCCACTAAAAAGAGGACAAGAAGGACTCAAAAATTCCAAAGAGCTATTGTAGGAGCCTCTTTAAATGACATTATGGCTAAGAGAAACCAAAGGCCTGAAGTAAGAAAGGCACAGAGAGAGCAAGCTATCCGGTAAGTATCGCAAAATTGGCATGCTTATTGAATCGTGAAATCCATGAATGTTTCTCAGTTTTTGTTTTTCCTAAAAAATGTTTAAAAAGTAACCTAATTTCTAAAAAAATGTTTGACGTGATATAAAGTTTGTTAAAAAAATAATCTAGTTGCTGTCAACTACCTCAAAATATTAGATTTAAGCAATTCAGATTAACTGATTTTGTGTGAAAGGTGTCATCAGAGAATTTTAAACAAGTTCCTACTTTAATAAAGCTGCCTAGAAAGAATTAACTGTTATTTTACCTGATTTGTATGTCTTTAGTGAAATAAACTATACTTAGCCTTTTTATGTTTCACTCCTTTTTTGTTATTATATTTGATTTTTTTGGTGTCTTTCATTTATGAAAAATGTGACCCTGCAGGAAAAATACCATGTCTTTTTAATATAAAGACACCAAAATAAAATATAGTAACAAAAAAGGGCTAAAAATAGTTTACTTCAGTTCAAATTTGGGCCAAAATGGTCTATATGTGTACTAAGCATCCACAAATGTATTTATTAAGTTTTAATGTGAAATAAACTTTTATACACATTTTTTATTACCTGATAAGGGGGACGATATATGAGAGACATTGCACACAATGTGTTAATACTGTGTTGAAAATGAAAATTTTTATTATATTGCTTATATTTGTTTTTTTCTTTAATAATCTGTATGTATTTGTACAGGATAATCAACATTATTTCTTTTTTAGTGCTGCAAAAGAACAAAAGAAGAGCACCAAGACCGCTAAAAAGGCCACAGCTCCAGCGAAGGCCAAGCCTGCTGGCAAACAAAAAGCCCAGAAAAATTTACCAAAAGCTGCTCCCAGGGTAGGAGGAAAACGTTAATGTTGTTGCGACTCTAATTTAAATCAATAAATTAAGTATTTTCCATTTAGTTTTTTTATTTTAGTGTTACAATAGATGAAAATTATTAAATCAATAGTCCTAACCTTATAATCTAAAATTTAGGTCATATGTCCCATATAAAGCTTAAAAATCTCAGAAATTGAATATTCTACAGAGGTATAGAGAGTAACTAATAATGATGAATGACTAACCTATACATATTTTTAATTTAAAATATTTACCGTAAGGGAGATATTTAGAAAATTATGTAGACCTTCATAGGAAAATTTAATTATATTTAGCTTTTTTTATTAATTAGTTAAGATCTAAGTCCCCTTATTTTAGTTTTTGAATTCAGCTTAAGAGAGGAACAGGTGGTTTGTTTCTGATAAAATTCCAGAGCATCTGCTTATTTATTTTTTTTACAAAAGGAAATGAGGTTATAACGGGTATGCTATATTGTCCACTTGTGTATTTAAATTATTTACAAAACGAAAATTGAACGTATTTTAAGGCATTCACTGCAAACATAGACAACCAGTTTTATCACTTGATGTACTACATGTTGCCTACCCACGGTTAACCATTTAGAACTTTCCACAATGAAATCAATGTGTATATAGATTGCTCATCTTTGTAAATTAGACGACGAAAAGCGGGTTTCATTGGGCGAAGTTTTGGAGTTCCAGTTGTAAAAAAATAATTTACAGAACCGGTTTAGATATTAGAATCTTTAGAGTTTTCTTGTCATTAAGATTTTTACGGATTTAAATGTACATTTAAAATTAATATTCAGAGTAATCAAAAGAACTTTTTTCTGTATAATAGTAATTATTTAGTTAATTAATTAAATAGTTTTGATATTAAGTGAATAACAGACAATTGTTACTTGTTTATAGAGGCTTTCTATTTTGTTCAAATTATATTCTAATGGTATTTGTTAAAACAAAATAAGTTCATTAATTATAGGGATCCAGAATTAAAAATATGATTTTGTCAATAGAAATTTTGACTTTTTATATCGCAAATTTTTGAGTATTGCGAAAAATTACACTTATTTTATTTTAAAACATAATTAAGACATTGCAGAAGACTATAAAGAAGGAGGCAAATCGGCATAGGGTAGACCTATAAAAAAATGTTATAAAAATTATTGAAATTGAGTAAAAAAATTAATTACAGTAAAATTTTAAAGTTTATTAAGTTACATTGTTTATTCCTGGTATGGCATCCGAAAATTCCCCAACTGAGTAGAATGCATTCTTGATTAAGTACTTTCTTAATTTCTCTTTAATTATTTTTGACTATACGACTATACAGAAACTCAACTTTACGACACATAAAAAATATTTTCAAAGTACCTTACATAATTATTTTTATTTCCTATAAATATTCAAATTTTATTTTAAAACGCGTTTGGGCCAGAACGATTCTGTTTACTATTCTATACATATTATGGGTAAGCAATCTATATCACTATATACAGCATTGAATAAAATATCATTGCGCGTGCTTGTGCAGTCGATTGAATAGAAAGAGACAAGACTATAAAAAATATATAAAATGTCAAGAGTTCAAAAATGTAAACAATTAAGGTTATGTAAATGGATAGGTATCATGTCAGATTTTATAAGTTCATTCAGTGCTTGATCGAAAATTTGAATTTTACGTAAATTTAAGTGTTGTCAACGACTAGTGCATCGCAAATCCGTACCAAATTACAGTGCCATATACAATGACGGACGTTAAGAATACAGGGGATTGTTTCCAGAAGAAAACTGGACAAAACAGCATCGTCCAGCCACTTTTAACTGATTTATACCAAGTAACAATGGCTTATGCTTATTGGAAAACAGGAAAAATAAACGGTCATGCAGTTTTCGACTTGTACTTCAGGAAAAACCCTTTCAACGGTGAGTTCACAGTTTTTGCTGGTTTAGAAGAGTGTTTGAAATTTCTAGAAAAATTCAGATATTCCGAAAGCGATATCGAATACCTCAGACAAATTTTACCAACATCAGTGGAAGAAGGGTTCTTTGAGTACTTAACGACACTCACTGCAGATAGCATAAGTTTCTATTCAGTTAAAGAAGGTACTGTTGTTTTTCCTAGAGTGCCTCTAATAAGAATCGAGGGTCCGTTAGTAGTGACGCAATTATTAGAGACAACGTTATTAAATTTAGTAAATTATGCTAGTTTAATGGCTACGAATGCTGCACGATATCGCTTAGCTGCAGGAAAGTTGAAATTATATGAATTCGGATTAAGAAGAGCACAGGGTCCCGATGGAGGTTTATCAGCTTCAAAATATTCGTATATTGGTGGATTTGATGGCACCAGTAACGTCCTAGCTGGAAAATTGTTTAACATTCCTGTCAAAGGTACCCACGCTCATGCTTACATTACCTCTTTTAATAGTTTAGATGAGTTAATAAATACTTTACTTATTCCTAAAGATGGTGAAGTCCCTAATGACTTTTTACAATCTTCTTTAAAATGGAGAGAGTCTATAGCATCTATGTTTAATATTCTTCTATCAGAAGTCAGTGATGGAGAGCTAGCAGCTTTTGTATCTTTTGCTTTAGCTTTTCCAAATGGTTTTATGGCACTTGTAGACACATACGACGTTAAACGAAGTGGTTTAATAAATTTCTGTGCAGTAGCTTTAGCTCTACATGAATTCGGTTACCAAGCATTAGGTATAAGGCTTGACAGTGGGGATCTAGCATATTTATCTGGTGTAGCTAGGAGTTATTTTGAAAAAATTGGCAACCAATACAATATACCATACTTCAACAAATTAAACATTATGGCTTCAAATGATATTAATGAAGAAACTATTATTAGTTTAAATGAACAAGGACATTGTATTGATTCTTTTGGTATTGGAACACATTTGGTTACTTGTCAAAAGCAACCGGCACTTGGTTGTGTTTATAAACTTGTTGAACTAGATGGAGAACCAAGAATCAAATTAAGTCATGATGTAGCTAAAGTTACAATTCCTGGGAAGAAAAACGTGTTCAGATTATATGGAAATACTTTTAGTCTTATAGATCTTTTACAAAGATCTGATGAGGAACCTCCTATAATGAATGAAAAAGTACTGTGCCGACACCCTTTTGAAGAATCAAAACGGGCCTATGTCATTCCATCTAAAGTAGAAAATCTTCTGCTGTTGCAGTGGAAAGATGGTAGGATCATCAGACCCATGCCGAATTTACAAGAGATCAAAGAGAATGTGCATAATTCTTTGAAGATTTTGAGATCAGATATCAAGAGAAGTTTGAACCCCACGCCATATAAGGTCTCTGTAAGTGATAGCCTTTACCATTTTTTGCACAAATTGTGGTTGGATAATGCTCCAATCGGTGAGCTTTCCTGATACGCCTGATTTACCTATTCGTACGGTTTCTAGTTACAAAAAGTACAAAAATTATTTTGGTACAAATTGTGAGCAACTTTGAGTCATACGAAAGGGTTGCAAAGTAGCTTGAGAGAATTAAATATGGGTTAAAAGCTACAAAATATTGTAAGTTGAGTGGTAAATTTGTAAATATCTGTTGTAAATTAGAGATTTTGATTGTAGATCTATGTATTTGTTACAAGTGATTTGATCACTATAAAATTGGCTTGTTAAATATTCTTATATAGGTATGTATATTATAAATTTTACATAAAATATTTTGCACAAAGAAGCACATTTTTCTATACTTTGTAAAATATTGTATATTTTTCTTATTTCAATAATAAAAAGGCATTAAAAGAATCTCAGAAACGAAATCTCCAAGCTACTATAAATAAAAACTTTTTTTATTTACTGTTGTTACCATTTATCTTTGCATAAAATATTTATATTGTTAGAAGTTTGGTAGTTTAACACATTCACTGCCTGTACTAGTAAAATAAAGTTGTTGACAAATATTTATCATGAGCTAAAGTAGGTTGTTAACTGTTGTTGTCTGTAGATAAATTAGTTGTATTAAAGGTCTAGGACTAGCGGTTTGGGTTCTGGGTATTTATTAACCAGGAACTAAACATTTAATTAATACATCTTATAAAATGCATTTACCAACATTCAAATGTGTCTTTGTAAAGTTGCTTGTGATTCATAACTAGAGGCGCTATACCATATCAGTGTGATATGATAAAATATATGAGAATGCTATTTTTAAAACCCACCCTCCTAACCCACCCCTTATTTTTAGATATTTTTAAAAAACCTGCGAAGACACGTATTATAGGCTTACCTTCATTATAAGTCAGGGGAGAAATATAGTAAATAAAACAATTAATTTGCAGAAACAGTGTTAAAATATCAAGCAGACCAACTTTTTTTATTATACATATATTATATATATTTAAAATAGTTATTATAGGAACAAAAAAGGCCCTCAAATATATTTTTTTTATATTAAACATTTAAGTAGACTTATCAATATTAAAAATTAGGTACTTACAGCTTGAGTAAATTAGTATAATACTCTCCTTCTACCTATAGAGGGCGAATCATAACTATTGGAACATAGTGTAACCACAGATTATTTGTACAAAATATCTTCTTCCAATATGCCACTGTTACGGTTTCTTGTACATGGGCAACACTGTAAATTTTCTAGTAAACATTTTAAAATGTTTCATTACCAATTAGTTTTAATTTCATCAAGTATTTCTTATGTGGTGTTCAGTTTAACAAAATGTATAATTTAGTAACAATCTAAGGTAACTGCACCAGTAATTGACACTTGATTTTTTTCATGTAGGTACCAGTAATTGACACAAATTCAGGGCCGCCGAGAGCCAGACCGGGCCCCGACAATTAAAAAATTAAATAACAAAAGGTCCTCAAGCAAAAATTTCTCCTCCTCTACTTCTTTGAATTTCTCTAAAGTAAGAACTTCCCCCATCTTGTGTCGAACTTCTGAAAGTAACAAACACCATCGCTGCCGGGCCTTCCTTTTAAATCCGGGCCCCGGAAATTAGTCCCAGCTGCCCCCCCCCCCCCCCTTCTAGTCGGCCCTGCACAAATTAAGGAACATTTTTTTATTATACTTTTAATTTTGAATACACCAGTCAATAACTGTAACCAAAGGGCGATCTTATATTTAAATGGTATATTGCAGACTTTTTAGACAACAACAGTGTATATCAGTATTTGCTTGTGGACCAGTCATTGACAGGGTATGTCAATAACTGGAACACACTGGTTTTGCTTGTTCCAGTTATTGACACTTTAATGAAAATGAGGTTTTAGGATTTCCATGCATAAAAACCCGTCAGTGTTGTTTAATACACCCCCAGGAATAGTTTAAATAAATTTAACATGAAGTATATTTGGTATACTGTCCTTATGAAATGTCTTAAAATGTTCACCATTTTGTAACTGACCGTGGTGCCACCTAATATCCGTTACGTAGGCTACACGGTTGACAAATATTCTAATAATACCGACGTTTAAGACAAATTTCTCATATATAGTCTAATGTTCTTATTTTTGAAGAATAATTGGAACACTGTCAATTATTGGTGCATTTATCATATACAGATATTATTAATTAACAAAAAAAAAACGTAAAAATAATTTAAATTTTTCAGTTCTCAATATTTTTTAATAAGGCATATATTGGTCCAAATAATTTGTGTAGTTACTCTATCTCACGTGTGCAGATCGACAAAAATATCCAAAGCCGCTAATGCTGTAAATAGAAGGATGTAGATCTCATAGCTCATTTTATTCCGCTTGTTCTTTGTGTTGTGTCTAACGGTTGGCGCATCATGCGGTTTTGTTATTCTTGTCGATCAGTATATAAACGTAATTTTGAGTCATTAGCAGTGCAAAAAAGCAATTATACATAAATATTAATCATAATACAAAAACTAATAGTTCTACAGCCAACTTGCAGATTTGTGACTTATTTTCTTATGGCTAAATTTATTAATTTGTGCTATGTGTCCAACGAATTCACGGAAGCGCGACGTTCAGACTGGGGCGCTTACGTAGCTATAGGCATTACAAGAGATAGGTACCTCTCAAAAACTTGACCTATTTTCTTAACATTTTTATGAATTTGTTGGACACGTATCGTAGTACAATTTAATAATAAAATAAAAGTCACAAACCTGCACGTTGGCTCTAGTACTATAAAATGTATGTACATGCCTATGTAGAGACCGAAAAAAGTTTTGAGATTTCGATATAAATGATTTAATTTTAATATAAATATATTCCCACGCTTTCCCATTATCTCTGTCAAATCGTCGTCATTCCAGTTTGATTCTTGATTTTCGTAAATAAATAAAAATGACAGAAAGCAATATTAGGACAGTAGGGAGCAAAACAAGTTAATATTTTATAAATGCTGAATGGTATTATCTTTATAAAATTTCTAGTTGTCCATACACAAGTTTGGGCGTAAATTTTGGAGAGATGGACAAGTTGTGGCACAGAGCTTTCACTATATCACTGTTAATTTTTCTTGTAGCACAATTGTGTTGATCACTTCATGATTATTGGTGTTTTCCAGAGATAACAGAGATAAAAGCAGTCATTGATCAAATATAATATAATTCATAAAAGTTTCGCCTATGTATTGACAAGGTAACAGTGCTTTCCCCATATTTTTTGCTTTTAAATTAACAAAAATATAGGTGTTTTCTCAGTTTTTCTTATAGCAAATTTTTTTTTGATCTTAGAAGGTATCACAGTAGTACAGCCAAATAAGTACAATTTTGATAATTTGATATTCTACCATTTTTTGCTACCAAAGTTTTTTGCTGTTCTCGTTCATCATCTGCCAATCGGTGCAAAAATCACAGTCAACAGAATTTCTGAACTTTTAAATGTCCATGAAGAATTTTTAGGATGAATGCCTAAAGTATTCTTTATTTCGTATGAAATATGACTGTCATTCTTCACCAGTTTTTCAACTGCGGACATATTTTCGACGCCACCTTCAAATTGCTTATATCGTCCACGACTTGGAGCATATTCTCCAGAGGAATTGCTCCGGAGTCAGACGTTTGAAATTGTAGCGAAAATTCTGACCTCATAGTTACCAAAATTGCTAGATAACAAAAAATGTTGTCTATGCCAGCGACATTTTTGTTAATTTCAAATCTCTCTTGATGGGGTGGGTGACTCAGTGGTAGAGTCTCTGCCTGCGGATCCAAGGGTCCCGGGTTCGAATCACACCGTTGACCGGGATTTTTTTATTTAATTGAATTATTTAAAATTAATTCTGATTCCCCACTCTACTATTTACTGTTGGGCTCTAATTAACAGTGCTGTTCCTAAAGTAGCGCTGGGAAACAGTAACAAAGCCTACACAGAACACGAGGCGAAATAACCCTGGTAGTTGAAGCCGATGACACAAAAAAATCAAAATCTTAAATTTTATTAGGTACCTACCTGCCTATACGTACATACATATTGATAACAATGGCTAAGAGGACAAATCAATGTGCCAATGTCCAAAAATGTCATTTTGAGCAAACTCTATTTAAAAGTTGGAGGTTTGTGTTAATACCTAACTTACTAAATAATGGTAAACCGTTTCAAGTGGACGGGACAAAATTTGGGAATCATAAAAGACAGAATCGTACATATTCCATTTTCGCCAAAAGCGGCCATACAATATTTGTCCTCTTAGCCATCGAAATAATTATTACATAAACTAAAATGTATGAATACCTATATCGAATAGTAATGAAAATCATAGTACTGTGATACGACAAATTGAATTGTATATTAAATTTATGATTTTCTTATTTATCTAACCTTGACTAATGTAACGTTACCTAATTAGTTACAATACTTACGCATTCCACTTGTTTTTACCGTTTTTTTAATAATAACGAAGTGCATCTGGAAACGATTGCATCAATATTTTTAGTAATTGCAATATAGCATCGAGTACCTAAATCATGTGTTCTATAACTGTGACAGCTTCGATTTAGTTTATTGTTGAAAATATGAAAAAAACTAGTTTGGTTTTTTAGGACCGATTCCACCGTTGTGTTAAACGAAGTTTAAAATGACATTTTTACATTAACAATGTCATTTTAATCTCCGTTTAACACAACGGTGGAATCAGCCCTAAGTATTTTTATTTTTATGTATACACCCACCTACAATGTGATCGTAGAAAAAAGTATAGTACAAATACTCTCGTTGTAAAGCGAATTACGTAGAATTTGTCTACTTTCGCGTAATTTGCTTTTACTACGGTTGATATTAAAATTTTACGACATGCGTGATCCATCACGTTGTTATACATAAATTAAAAGTTCTCATAAATAAACTATATAAAAAACAAGTCGTTTTATTTCAACCGTTTGGCAAGCAGAGTAGTTATTACATTATTTGTATTATTAATAAAGAAAAAATTGAGAATCCAGAATCAATTATATTTCGTATAGAATAATATCATCTGAATTAGGGCGTGGTTCAAAGCCCACTTGTACTGAAGCTCTAGGCTTATTGTACCCCTCACAGTTTCTATCCCATCAGATTGATTTTCTTGATGAATTCAAGAATATGTCTGATGGGCGCTTTCGCGATTTCTTCAGGTTCCGGATATTGTACCCCGAAGTACCATTCCCGTTCCCATTTAAGGTTCCGGCAGTGGCATAGTATGTGAATAGGAGTTTCGTCCTCCTCTTCACATATTCTACATAGGGAGTCATCAGATATCCCTATCCCTCAGATGGCCCCTCTATGAATCTTTTGGACTGTCTAAGTCCAGGAAGTTCCATCCAGAGCCTATGGTGTTCTCTTTTTATTTGTTCCTTTAACACCCATTTAACATGTTGGTATGATATACCACATGTGGGTTCTGGTCCAATAAGAGTTTTTTCCGCTCCCTTCCTTGCTAGGAGGTCTGCTTTCTCGTATCCAAACACTCCCTCATGTCCTGGCACCCATTCAAGGGTGGCCTTGTTATGTTCTGCCAGAGCCTGGAGGGACTGATGTTGGCAATCAAATATTGATTTAGATTGTACTTCTACCCTTTTTAGTGCTTTAAGGGCTGCCCGACTGTCATGATAACGATTCTCTTATCTCTGAGTCATTTAGCATGACTTTGGCGCAGGCATTTATTGCTGTTACTTCAGCCTGGAAGACTGTTGTCAGTGACCCCAGGTTCAAACTAATTGTCCTCCCTGAGTTCACATAGATCCCTCGCGCCTCCTATATCCATACTCATATTTTGTTAATTTATTAACGGATGCCATACGAGACTGGGATGAATAATTTTCAGTATACCTATTGTAAAAAATAGGGATAAAAAATCCTTTTATTTTTCGTCATATAATCTCCTTTTCGCTCAATAACCTTTGCAAAACAAGTTCAAGACCGTTTGTAACACTATTATAGGCCAATTTATCCAGCTCTTTAAGATGGATGTTTGTGCTAGTAATGACTTCCAAATCGGACATATATTTCTTGCCCACGTGAAATTTTATTATGTTTGGAAATAAACTAATTTTCGAAGGGATTAGGTAAATCGGGCGAGTAGAGTGCATGGAGCAGTAATTTAAAGCCCAGTTCATCAATTATAGCCATCACAATAATAGAACCAGTTCATCAATTATAGCCATCAAAATAAAGAACTTCTGACATGTTGCATTGTCCTGATGGAACAAAAACTTGTTTTTTTCGATAATAAAAGTAATTTCTCCAGAACTTTCTGTTGCAGCTGATCAAGAAGCATTTTGGGATATTATTGTCAATTTATTGGTTTACCCTTTTCAAAAGCGTCAATAAAAATAATGCCTTGCACATCCCAAAATACCAGTCGATAGACCTCCTGTGCTGTTTTTCATTTTCGAACCGTCTGTATACCAGATTGATTCGTTTTGTTTTTCCCTTTTTTCCCGGCTTTTGGCCCTTTCTGGTATTTGAATATCAAAAGGTTTCCTGAAGTCGTGAATAATGGGCGTTTTATCCGATGGCATTCTTAGTACCGGATTTTGTTTTAATTTCTCTAATATCATTGTGTGGTGTTTTTTTCTCGAAAGTTCCCATCCAAATCCATTAGTAAACAACCTGTATGCCGCCGCCATAGCCTCCTTCTCCACCACAAGGTGTAGTGGAGGAAGACCTAGCAGTAGCTCCATTGCTGCTGTGGGCGTAGTTCTAAATGTCCCTGTTATTATTAGACAGGATAGTCTTTGTACCTTGTCTAATTTTCTGTTAGCTGTTATGCTTTTAGTCTTTGTGCCACCATATGACTGATGAGTACGTTATAACAGGTACTACAACCATAGTGTGAAGCCAGTGCATCATACTTGGTTTAAGCCCCCATGCGTTCCCTACCATCCGTCTACAGGCCCATAGTATTCTTACAGCCTTTTCTGTTGTTTTTCTATATGGCTGTAGAAGCTAAGCTTGTCATCGAGAGTGATTCCAAAATATTTAACCTCCTTTGACATTTTTAGATGTTGTCCCCACATATAAAGCTCCTTCATTCCTTGAAGGTTCCTTTTTCTTGTGAATGCAACAACAGAGGTTTTTGTCGGGTATAGAATAATAGGATATAATACTTTTATTTAACTAAAAGTTTTTTAAGTGACACTGATACCGACAGTGTATACTGTTATAGCTAAAATTAAACTATTAACTAATAGTTTTTAGAGACAAAAGTATTAAGTCTTAAAATAAATAGCTAAAATTGTTAAAGCTAGTTTATGTTTTATATTATACTTTTTAAAGTAATTGGCCTCAAGTAGTGCTAGATTCACTAAGTTGACGTTAATAATAAAATGCGAAAAATGATATACGGGCCGATGTGGCACAGGAATATTTGTTGCTTCTCGGGAAGAACCTGAGGGAAATTTTCTCCTATGTGGTGCAATCAATTATTGCATCATACTGGAATGAAAAACTAGATATCTGGATGGGGTTTGAAAAACGTAAAATTTCTATTTATGCGAGTTTATCTTACTGAGAAAATTGACAAGCATATTTAGAAACTAGATCGTTATTGATTGAGACTGAATATAGTTTCAATATTCATGTTTTGGTAATCTGAGAATAATTGATTTGTTAGCATCTATATCGGTATGGTGCTATTAGATCTTTGTTTAGGATATCAAAATTAACAAAGGAGACAAATTTCCATGGTGGGGCCTATAATACATATTCCGCTTGGCGACGCCCCAGAGGTATGGCGTTTTGAAATCTTTGTTCTACAGATCATTGTTAACCAAGATCACAAAACAACAGCGTGGGGCCCATGATACATGTCCACAGTGAGAAAATTACGCGTTTCGGTAAGTATGGCGGACCTTAAGTGATTATTATTATTATATTGGTATGGCATATTGAGTTCGCGAACTTTGGCAACCTCCTTGACGACGCATAAAACAAGAATTAAAGTGGGGCCTATGAACCAAGGTCATCGATATTAATTCACCCCCCCTAAAAGCTACACTTTAGGAGTGCCATACCGGGAATTCAAAGAGGGGAATAACGTTTTGTCTATCAGCCCCCAAAGTCTTGTCGTGGGGCCTACGATACATGCAAAAACCTTCTCGGCTCCCGGTCTAATATGAGTATACTTGTCTAAATAGGTAGGTTCCAAACCCTCTCTAAAAGTTCTATTTTTTGTTCTCTTTTTTACTTATTTTCTTTTTAAGCAAAATAATGTAATGATATGAATACGAACGGTCGAGGCAGGTAATGTAGCGGCTGATAAGAGTGCGGTTTTTTTGTCTACTTTTTGGTGATTCACTCTTTAAAAATTGTGCTCGATAAAGTGTAATATTGGTACTCCATGTGTAACATCTATTTAGACGAGTATACTCATAATTTAGAACGAACTTTTTTTACAGGTAAGTCGTTTGTTCTTTTAATTAAATTAGGTAAACATAAAATAGATTTTGGATAAATATAACGCCCTAAAACTTTATTTTAATGGAATATTATTGTTTTATTTTAATATTGCGTGTTAAAACAAGTATTATGTTTGAAATCTAATTCTATTAATGGCTATAACTGATAAGAATATCATTAATATGGTAAACAAGCAAAATATTCCAGACGAGTTTCTCTAGATATTTCTATATATTATTGCGATAATTAATATTGATTAAAATACGTATTTAGATACAATTTACTCATTAGTATTTTAAACTTGTTATTTTAAAAACAATTTTAGGTCACTTCATTAATATCTATTTAGGTACCTAAGGCTAGTATTGATTTATGCAGATGACCTAAAAAAAATTCAATCGCCAATGACCGCTTAAACAATCGCATTGCAAAATCGTAATGTTTAATAAAACAGCTAATACTATGTCGTTACGGGATTTGGACTAAGTGTTGCGCAAACTATGAATCTTGTTATTTTCTACAAAGATTTGTTGTTAATACCTCATATTGAAGAAATCACACAAAAATATATTTTCAACTTCCGGGCTTTGTTAAAAAAAACACCAAACATATTTACGCTAGAGTAGCTCTGAAGAGTGTCTGTAATTGCTTAGAAGCATTTTAGAATACTGATCAGTGCCCCCTAATTACATATTGATAAATTAGAGAGGGTACAAAATTAATTTAAAAGTATGTACCTACTATATAAATATATAGGCTCATAGGTGTTGTCGTACAAGAGCAAGGGAGGCGTCTATCACCATGGATTTTGTGATTTTTTCGCTATTGCTTTCGATTACAGCTTGCGACGTTCTGATCCTGCCTGTAATAATAATACGATGCAGATCACTTCCTAGCTAGAGAATTATGCTTCCATCTGCAGAATTCGCTAAGTTATCGAGCTCTGTTCATAGAACTTTTATCTTACATTTTCGAAGAGAATTATCTTCTTAATCGACATAAGACTATCTTTCACTTTTTGGATGACTACTACTTTTGCTCTAATCTCTCATATACATCAATTTATACACCATTGAATCCTACATTCCAACCTGTGTAACTTTCATTCCTTATAAAATAATATTTTATCTATATCAATGAGTGAAAATTACAGACTTTGCAATTAAGGATCCGATGGTGTATAAATTGATGTATATGAGAGATTAAAGTAGTAGTAATCCAGAATGTTAAAGACAAGGCTAACGTCGAAGATTTATGATTCTGACCTAATGAATCTTCTTTCTTGATGTTTGACTCTATCCTTATTAGAAGCTATATATAAATTGTTAAAAGGTTTGATAGTTATGATGATATTGATTGGATATGATTGATATTACTAGCTGGGTTGTTCAATAAAAATTCTTTGTTCCCGTCAGACATTCTAAGCAGACAAAACTTGTAGACCGACTAATGACTAGTGTCTAATTAC